CTTTTTTTAGTCTTATCTGATTAGTTGTGCGGCTATCTCTACTGCATTAGAATTATTTATGGCTTCAGTGCTCAGGCGTTTTAGTTTTCGTTATCAAATCTTGCCGTCTGGCCCGTAAGTACTTCTTTTTAAACCAAGTCTTTTTTTAGTTATAGCATAATATTCCCTTTCTTCGTGCCTTACTTTTTTGAGATTCCAAGAGTTCCTGTCGCTTATATAGTCGGAATCCCAATAACTGGAAAATCCTTCCCTTACATTTTTGGACTTCAGGTTTAGTGTATATTACTTATATTCTTGTATATCTTACAGGTGGCGTCTTCTTCTCCAGAATCAATGCTAGTTTGCTTGTGTGGCCTGGTAAGTTGTTTTGTTGCACCTGAGTGCTTGATTGTCTTCACGCAGAGTTACTAAAATACATATAGTCTTAAGTTTGTTATGATCGATGCAGCTTTAAATAAGGCTATAGGATTTCACGATTTTAAATTGAATGTGCTACCATTGTCCCTAAAATTTTTAAGGACCTATTGTTGAGCTCTCGCGGCATTTTGTGATTCCTTAAATGATATAATTTACCCATATTTTGCATTACAAAATTATTTTCTTATCCTTAATGAACTGAAGTTTCAGCCTCACCTAGTACCTACAGAGAGCTGTATTTTATTCCAGACTCTGACTCTATCCTATCCCCTTTTTCGAATACGAAATGCTCGTGTATGCATCAGGCTCAACTGGGCAGGCTATTACATTGGCTGAATTCTTTCCACATCAAAGCAACTCAGCTCTTGCCAGGTGAACCTGCTGGTTACTAGACTTGTATCCTCTTGTTTTATTTCATATCGCACTCACTCAAGGGCTTTACTATATTCCTTTATCATTTTATACTTTAAACGCTTGAGGCTATGAGGACAAAGATGGTGTGACCGCTGGTATGGTCGCGTTATCGTCTTGATTTATATTAGTAGGCTGACCTCGTCGCAACTTGGTCTTGTTGTCAGGGCGACTTAGTAGAACGCACCTAGTCCAAGTCGTATGCCATAGAAGTTGCCATAATTCCCAGCATCAGTCAGTAGACTTGGTACAATCTCAAACGTTCCACTGTCATCGTAATCAGCATCATCAGTGAGTTTTACCATTCTCCACACCAGATACGAACTCGCCAAAGA